CACTCACTCACTCACTCACTCACTCACTCACTCACTCACTCACTCACCACTCACTCGCCACTCACACACACTCATTCACACAGTCACTCACCACTCACTCACTCACTCACTCACCACTCACTCACTCACCACTCACTCACCAATCACTCACTCACCACTAACTCACCACTCACTCACTCACCACTCACAAACTCACCCACTCACGCACGCACGCACGCACTGAGTCACTCACGCACTCACTCGCCCTACAAATTTATCATAATTGTCAGTTTTTGTTTGTGTCAGTAGTTATAAAATTTAAAAAAAAATGATAAATCAAAATTATATTTCTATACAGTGCAATGAACTTAATATTATCAGCAGTTTCAAATTTGAATGGTTTTTGCATCATTTTGATATATCCATAGTCATACCGCAGTGATCACTGAACTCGAATGGCAATTCTCGCACTCAAAACGGTTCGAACCGATTTGTACGATAATCGTATGAACTTGAAAAAATGTCATACGAGATCGTGTTTAGACAAGTCGAAAACTCGTAAGCAAGAATCTCCTTACTACATATTTCTCCGTGTAAACAGTCGAGGAGGCGATTAAGTTGCTTGCGAATCTCGTATGACATAATCGTAGGCGAGATTTTAGTTCTTGCCTGAATGTAAACATTATGATACGATAATCTTATGGCGATTATTGCTTACGATAATCGCCTACGAGTTTTCGTCACGAAGCGTGCGAGAAACTCTCCCCATCTAAATGGGCCTTAAGTGATGTATCACTGACGAGTTACCAGGAATGTATGGCCCTTATTTCGTCTCTATTTCTGGTTACTCGATGCTTACGATATTTACTACTGATTGACCTTACCTACCTACCTACTAGTTTACCTACGGTAAAAACCTTTTTTGCAATATCTCCTACGAGCATCACTTAGGCGTCGGAGTACCAGCAGTGTCCAACAGATGGCGCTTATTAATATTACAATTCGGTATCGTTAGATGGCGCTTCAACACCTGATAATTTGACCTTATAATAATATTTTCGCAACTGATTACAGTTCTAGTCGGTACATGGTACATAAATGAGCTGTTTTTATTCTCTCTTCAATTTTGTACGTTATACCTATTGCATTGCTTCGTTTTGTTAGCACATTACAGTGATACTTGTGGTAACACACGCTAAGAAATTCGACGTGTCTGCTACAGAAAAGATGAGAATGGTTTGTACACGACAAGAACTTTGTCGAATCTAGTCACGAAAACATGTCGTGTCTGTTGCAGACGAGAAAATGATGAGTACGTACACGATGCGAATGCTTTCGGACAGACGCGTGTAAGGTAAAATGTGTCAGTGCATTACGAGTCTTCCAGGTGGCTGTCGTTTTACTACTGACTGTGGGAAGAAACCACGCTCATAAAAGTTCGTTTACTGAAAACTCACCCCACCCCTAATAGCGGCAGAGCGCGTCGTGTTGGGGGTAGAAAAGATTTTTTTCTTGTCCGGTGCCGAGGCAGTGTACACAGTTCGTGTGTAGAAACGACACGAAGAAACGCGCTCTAATACTGAAAATTCCTACTTACATTTATATGGCACTGATCGATAGTCTGGAAGTAGTTTATATTATGTAAATGGCCTTGGATATCAATTCCTTTTTAATATGAAATATAAATAATCAGTTTTTTCCTTGTATAATATTATTTAAATATTGACTATGAGCTAAAGCTATTTTCTGAATTTTGACAAATATGCATATCAAAAGATGGCATTGTGTGTTACAAACCAATTTATAAAATTAACGCTTACTAAAATATGGGTAGATGGAGCTTAATCCTGCACAAAATAAAAGAATAGCCGGCAGTATCAATTAAAACCAGTGCTATAAGCGCCATCTAGTCGATTTGTTTATTACTACTAGAAATTACAGTAGCTTTGAAAAATTGCAGCTCGTGAATGTAAAACAAATTAACAAATTAGTCACAAAAATATCTATTTGGTACTCGTGACCACATCTGTTGTGCTAAATATCTGACGCTGTTTCGTGTCGCGACCTTGCTGAAATAAAAACTCTTTGCTAAGTTATTGTGTTGAATTTTCTTTTGTATTTGTGACGGACTGGCTTAAAACAAAACTTTCAAAAAACAAAACGAAGTAAAAGTGCAAACTATTTGGAACCATCCCAAAACAAATGTCACAGAAATTTTCATCTTCATTTTTTCCGACTAAACGAATTGTTAAATTCTGAAATAATAAGTAAACGGTTTAGCATTTTATTTGTACACTTTTTATATAATTCGGACGGCCATTATTTTTTTCTTGTGTACAAGATGGCGATGTGTGTGACGCGTATGGAATGGCTTGCATTGGGCGCAACGTGGAAATACTCATCAATCTTCCCCGGAATCTCGCCAAATGCTCCTGCATGCCGCAATGCGCCGAGCTTAACTATTATTCACATACCAAAAAGATCGTTGTTCGGTAAGTTTTAAAATATTTCCATGAAAGCTTTTACTTCCCGTACTACAACGCATTACACGCTAACAATGTAAAACAGGTATGGCGAAACCCATTTTTTCTATGACGCCGTGTGTTCGCTTACGATGGAAGCCGACGTAGATGATGTGTGGCTTGCTACAAGAAGTGCCTACTTTTATGAAATAGGCACTTCTTGTAAGTAATAGGGACGGCACTTCTTGTAAATAATAGGTACGTGGGCACTTCTTGTACCAAGCCACAGACTGCCACAGTTATCTCATTGGTACTGTTCCTAAAAACATCGAAGCTTAATAGTTTATGCTATATGGCATTGTCAAGTTGACGGGCAATTGTCAGAGTGTAGGTACTTTAGTGCGTGTGACCCGTAATATGATAGTCTTAGAATTCATTATCTACTGACGTGAGTGATGACGTCAGCAGACACATTATTGTTGTCGTTCGTTGTTTTCAAAACTTAAAAGCGTCCGCGGTTTTAACAAAGTTATATGCCGGCCACAAGTAAAGGTCAAGACACAGTCATCGTTGGCGATCATGCAGTTTGTCCGTATAAACAGCACGATTAATGTGGACGATTCCATCCTTTAGCATAGGCCGGTGTCATACAAAACGTGCTTATTGTATGGACAAAAATTCGATCGCAGTCGATAAGTATCACAGAACTTGACCTTTTAGGTGTTAAAACGATTATTTTCGTCACTGCAAATTTTAATTGATATTCTTCGTATATGTACAGTCAAATTGACTTAGTGTTACTCTTTTTCTTCAATGAATTCAAAGACCAATAAGAAATCGGGGTTCCGCCCTACATACTTCACTTCATGTATCTCCTGGACATTTCCTCAGAGTTAGCTTTAGATATTTAAATAGCAATAGAAAAAGAATATAAAATAATGTATTATTTACACCAACATGAATGGGAGCGATGGTCAAACCGAGGAAGGTGCTGTGGCGGCGGCGGTCAGGTTTAATCTGATGCCGCCAAAGTTTCGCCTGCACAGAGACGTGATTTTCACACTAGAGGATCTTTTTGGTGCGTGGCTGTCCGTCATTAGGAAATAACGTGATTGTGTGTTGTGTTAGTTTGTGATAATGTTTGTGTTATGCTACATGTTGTCGCGTTAGAACCTGCGCAAACTGTCGGCCGGCGGGGGAGAGCATCGAAGAGTATCTGCACGCTAGCGCACACTAATAAGTACTATCCCTTATACGATATCGCCGCTACCCGCATTTGTGCTACGCATTTGTGCTGACCCTTAGACCGATAAATTGGCAGATTAGCACTTCCATCCACTCTAGCACAAGATACTTCCTTTCTCTAATAATAACGTACGGAAGCGTGCTTGTTTATGATTTATGCCTCTAATGTGTGTTTAACTTTATTTGTATTTGTACGCGTGATCTGCATTATATGGTTTTTAAGTATGTTTGTGTAACATGTGATTTTGCATTGTTTTTTAGTGTAATGTGCCGTCGTCTAAAGTTGTGTGAGAGTAATTCGTAACTATTTATTATGTTTTTGTTTTATTCTTTGGCTGTAATGTGGCGATAGGTATGTCACTTGGTGTAGCGTACTTGTGATATGTTGGCTTCTAAACCGTTGTTAAATAAGGGAAATACAAAATATCCCTTTTAGTACGAATGATCTTTCAACTTTATAATTTTGTCAGGATTAAATTGTTAACATAGTTCGACTCTGAATGTTGTGTTTTGTTGAACATAATTTATTTTTGTTGAAATATTGTAAATTACGGACATCATTCTTGTGAGTGCAGTCTGTGTCGCCAACATGTCTCGTACAAGTAATTGTGGTTTGAACATAATGTTAAACTCCATTCCTTTTCACGCAGCATCCTTAGGAGGGACAACAGCGCTTTTTGTTGGAGCCAGTGTTCTTACAATTGTTGAAACGGCTTTCTTCATCATTATACATGTTGTTAAATTGTTTTGTAGAAAATACCGAGTGAATATCGTAGAGTTCAAACCTTAAGAGCGTTAGAGAGTAGCACAAGATTTCTCTTTGTTTAGAATTAAATTATAGAGAGTGTGCCCACTGGGATGTTTATTACTTTATTTTAGGCAGTACGTCAGTGTCTCGTATAACTTTACATTTTGGACTTTTAGCCGTTCTTATAACAAACGTCATAGAGTTTAATTTAAATGTTAAGTGTCAATATTACGTACCCTTGGCTCTGTACTATACGATGATTTAAAGTTTGAAAAGTAGGAAATAAAAAATCTAAAATTTGTTTTTTTTTAATTATCCTTTTCTACAGTCTTTCGATTGTCAAATGTCAACACGGATTCAAATAATTTTGAATATTATTTCAGAATTGTAATTAACTGGGTACCTATTGCGTTTACGAAATGCGGTTTTCGAAACGAAATTCGTTGGTAGTATGCGAGTAAGGAAAAATAACGGTGGCACCGTGTATTAAATTCTTTTTTACGAAAAACAATTGTCCGAACCATATCCATTATTTGAATGCTCTTTCTTTAGTCATTACCAATGATTGGAAAAATGTGTTCCACATATATAGATTGTTGTTAAAACCACCAAATATTAATTAATTAGGTACTATTTCGAATTTCGGATTTCCGAAAATGGTTTACTGCATCGTAGGACAAAACTACTGACCTAGGAAGTCCAAGTTGGATTTTAAAGTAAATCTAATGGTGCCATGTAAAAAATGCTTTATAATTTTGCCAGAACAGAGAATAAAAAAGTAACGTAAATGGTGACTCTCAGCCCCTTTCTAGCTTTAAATACCGCATATTGACGGAACGGTGACATTTGCTAGTAGAACTTAATAAGAAAAACATTAAAAATTTTATTTACAAGGGGAATTTTAGGACATACTGCTGAACGCTTAAACAAGACGAAAAAGTGTCATTTTTGACGGCCGGTAAGGTACAGCTAATGTTAACTTCTTGAATAGAAATAAGAGAAGAGTTTCTTTCGTCCGGAAATCCAGAATTCGTAAAAAGTAATTAATATTTGGTGGTTTTAACAACTGTACGTCGCTCCTTATAGCTATATCTACACATGTATCTATATTATGTGGAACACCGTTTTCCGACCATTGTAACCAAACGGTTAGCTTGTAATGGCATACTACAGCTATTTAGATAATTATAAAAAACCAACCTCTGAAGCTTGGGGAATTACATCTATTTGCCAAGTTTTGTTGGAATTGGTTAGCGAAAAGTGTGTGAAATGCAATAAACCGGATTCATCCTCTAATTTACCACCCTTATTAATGGAGGAATACTTTCTTCAAATTTAAATTCAACCACTGACAATTGACATAAAAAAGTCCCTGTAGCTCTATAATAGGTGTGATCCTCTGTAGCCGGACCACCTATAAGTACTCAGGTACAGTAGTACAAAATAATTGGTACCTAAAGTCTACTTTCCTAGACATACACCAAAATTAATAGTACCTCAATAGATTACGAAATATTTAACCACGTAGGTGGTCCGGCCGCAAAGCAGTACTCTACCACCGCGCCACCTTTGATTTAGAAAAGCAAAATACACTTTCAAAAATGAAATATTAAAAAAAACTTAATCACAGGTACTAAATACACAGAGGATCACACCTATAATAGAACATAGAACTAGTGAGAACGAATGTACTGAGGTAGGTAGCCCCTTTCCAAGATCACGTTACATACAAAAAATACAGTCGAATTGAGAATCTCCTTTTTTTGAAGTCGGTTAAAAACTGACTTCAATTTGTGTATGCTATAAAACGCGTCGACTGTGATGACGTCATCAATATTAAGTCGATTACAGAGTGCAATGGTGCGTTCCGAGTAAATGATCATCTACCTTTAAGTCTTGCTCAATTAATATACATAAATATGTATAAGACCAATATTATAATAATGGTTGGTGTTAAAAACCCGCTTTCAGGATCATACGTTGTTGGTAATTAAATAATAAGACACCAGATAAATACAAAGTTCAATAAATGTGTACATAGTAAATTCATGTTGTGATTGTTGTGTATCTCTAACTGTGGTCCACAACTGAATATGAAAGTAAAGTAAAATGGATTAATTTCTTTATTAATATATGATTTCCATAAACTTATCGAAAGCAATAGAAAACCATCTAGATTAACTTTGACTTTTGCATTTGCAGTAACGAAACGCAGCTGACACAAACGCTCTTACTAATAAATTTTTATTTGTTTTCTAAATTCTAACCTAAAAAAATACGAAAAAACAACGAGCGAACGACTAAATAATGTTTATAAGCACATTACATTTCATTTTTAACGGTTTTAATTACATTTTATCTACACTTTATTTCATTGTGTCCTTGTTGCATGCAGTATTGCCTTTTGGGTTGGATGTTGGATTAGTGGGTGTTAGTGCATATTTTTTGACTAAATTGAAGAAGCCAGATGCTCATAATGTGGCCAGCATCTTTGGACCGATGCCTGGTACACGGGAAAGTGAACAATACCCCGAGAAAGTGGTCAAATGCATAGCTCACAGAGGCGCGGGACTAGACGCGCCTGAGAACACTATGGAAGCATTTAAATACGTAAGATTTTATTGTTTTATTAACACCATTATACAGGTGTCACACGGCAATTGGAATCGGGGGGAAAGTACTTTAAATTAGTATAGGCAAAACGCATTTTAGAAAGGATCGTGGACAATTTGGAACAGTTTGGGATGTTTTGATCAACGCAACAATTAAAAATTATAAGTCGGTATTGTAAAAATACAAGATTTTTTTCACATTTGGTCCCTTATTTCACTCTTTATTTTTTATGGCTCCATCGTGCTGTGTAAATTTATTCAAAAAAACATTTTATTTCTGTAATAGTCTGTCTGGTGCCCGCAACTTTGTCTGCGTAGAATAAGTACTGGAGTAGCCTACTGTACTACTTAGTTGAGATATGATTGGTTCTTCACACAAACCTTTCATTCCGTATTTCATTACCACCTTTAAGATTATTTTGTGACAAAAAGTAGCCTATGTCCTTCTCCTTGGTCCATCATTTTTTTTATCATATCAAATGATGGGATGAACAAGTAGTGCCCCTGATGGTAAGCTACATGCCTGTCCATAACAGTTGCAGTGACACTGGAGAGCTTTAAATTGCAATCTGAGGGGCACTGTAACGCTCCCTGAGCGTAAGTTGACAAGTCCCATGTTCCTGTAATTTCATCAGCATCCTTACCCTTCTACACCAGAAAGCAGTAATGGAAGGCGCTCTGCTGTTAAATATCTATCTCTATACCAAAATTCATAAATATTTGTTCAGCGGTTTAGGCGTGAAAACCTAACAGACAGTTACTTTCGCATTTATAATATTTGTTAGGATTATGCAATATAAAACTACCCCTTTTTGTTATTAGTGCGTGGAGCACAACTGTAGCTTCGTAGAGCTAGATGTACGCTCATCAAAGGATGGCAAGCTGGTGCTACTGCACGATCAGGGCCTGGAACGTCTCGCCGGCAACTCAACAATACACAATGTGCATATCATGGACTGGGACAGTATTAAGGATATTGACATAGGTGCTACCCATCCAAACAGGTAATAATGGATAGCCTTTATTGAATTTCGACATGACTGGCTACGAGTAAAGAAAAGCCGAAACTTTTGGTATAGTGTAATAAGACAAGCATTGTAATTCCCGCCTCTAGGGGCGTCAATACCTGCTTTTTCGCCTTGATTGGCTCTGAAGAGTCGGTACTACCACTGCTTGAATTAAAATGTATACTAATACGGTTCATTTTGCTAGGGTCGAGCAGCAGGGACACTAGCTTTATTTCAGAATTTATTTTTTGTTAACAAAATTAAAGTATTAAAAAAATCATTGGTACATGTAAAGTAATAAAAATTGAAGTAAATTAATTTGCTACTCCGCGAACCCAGTGAAGGTTAAATCATGCAAAATAGCTGTGCTTGTGTTGACTATTTTTTCATGCAGTTAATTTTCACACAGTCTCTCTGCATAAAATTAATAAAATAAATAACAAGCGCAGCTACAGTCATAAACACCACTACCAAATATACCCTACACGTGTTTCGTGTTTAAAGTGTTTGATTTAACACTGTTTTGCGGAATCAACTAAAGCCCTTTGAGGTTGTATAGACTCTTAAATCTGTTTTGTTTTGCAGGCAAAAGTTCAAAGAAGTTCATCTATGTCTTCTAGATGTAGCTCTGGATTATTTACTGGAAAACAAGGTCAAAATGATCATCGACGTTAAGGGTGATGATAAAGTGGTAAGTTTTCATTGACTTTAGACCACCAACATTAAAAACTGTAATTATTATTGCGAAGATCGAACACTCAGAAAAATTCCTACGACGACCTCGTTATGCTGTGGCTGCCACAGTATCATTAAATAGATAGATTTTTTAGTCACAGTAGAGCTCCTTGTGAAAGATTTCGTCCACGCAAATACTGCCACCTTACGTTCTTCTTCTTATTTATTAGTGGCTAGTTCTGTGTCTTTCCACGATTCCGCCAATGTCGCGTAGGTAGCCTCTACACGGGTGGAGGTAGATTTTTTTTCAAATATAATTTTGACTATTACTGCTGTCTGTGAGATTCGAAGCGGGTTTATCTAAAACAAGGCACACAGTTGCAACATCACAGGACAACACAAAGGAAAGTCCAAAAATAAAAACAAGGGGTTATAATAAATAGACAAATAAAAAAAATTAATGAATAAATGAAAAAGTGAGAGAGAAAAAAATACAATTTTAATTGGTTTATTGCCAAAAATTTTTTTAAGATTTTAAAAGGGGAGGGCTTAGACATTTCGAGGATGCATTTTATGCTAGTTGGACGAGGGACCACTTGTAGGAGTACATAGTAGAGAGAGACGGTTGGCTTAGGACAGTTAAAAAGAACATGGTCTGTGGTTCCTTCCTCAACTCCACACTCACAGAAAGAAGTATCTCTTATCCTGATTTTGGCAAGATGCACATACCACCTTACCTATTTCTGCCGCCAAGCAGTAACGTCAGCATTACTGTATTCCGGTTTATAAGCGTAAGGGTGTTGGTGAAATTACAGGCATATGGGACTTGTCAACTTATGCAGTGCCCTTCAGATCTTTGCGATTTAAAGCTCTGAGTGGCACTGCAACTATTATGGACAGGCGTGTAGCTTACCATCAGGCGCACGACTTGTTTGTCCCGTCACTTGATACTATATAAAAAAAAATACAATCACTTCACAAAGTATGACACGAAAGCATAGAACATAAATTAGCACATATTTGGTATAAACATATACTATGAGAAGAACAAACAAATATAATATGCAGAAAAACTAAACTTTGTAGTGGTTATACTTGTTTGTCAGTATAGTATGGAAAGAAGTGTGCTCAACTTAAAATTGAAAGGTAAAGTAAAACTAACCACAACTAAAAGCAAATCAAAGACTAAAAAAGTCACAGACGTAATAAAACGGCAAAAATGGTGTTGGACAGAACACATGAGAAAAAAAAAATGAAAAGTGCACAAGGGATACTGTAATGGCACCTAAGAGAGGGAAAAGGAAGAAAGGGAGTCTATACTTTAATGGGAACACGATTTTAAATATTTTGGTGGAGGAGTATGAAGGCAAACAGTAAAAGGGTGACCTATTTGTAGTACGAAATGACATTTTCTAGAAATAACGTTTGGTCGAAATTTCATAACC